AAATGCACATTAATACAAGCCAAAGATTTTCTGACTGTAAGAACATATTAAGGCAGCGCAGGATTATCTTGTTTAATATTCTGAGGGAAATTTGGTTGGCGTGTGTGTATGTATGTGCACATCTTCAAATCAGTGCTGACCCCTGTCTGGTAACTGTCTGGATTAGTCCCTGCAATTTTCATTGCAAAATTTCAGAAGTGATTTGCCCTTGCCTGCTTCCTAGGGCTGAGAGAGAGTGACAGGCCTAAGGTCTCCCAGATGGCTTTGCGCTTAATGCAGGACTAGAACTTACAGTCTCCTGGTTTCTAACTTAATGCCCTAACCTCTACACCAGTGGTTCCCAAACTTGGCAACTTTAAGACTTGTGGACTTCAACTCCCAGAATTCTCCAGCCAGCTGTCCACAAGTCTTAAAGTTGCCAAGTTTGGGAACCACTGCTCTACACCAAACTGCCTCTATTGGCCTTCCTATTATTTAGTTTTAAATGACAACTGGATAACCTGTCGCCTGTTGGGTCTGTTGGGTTTCAGAGATATCTCCTTACATAAGCAAAAAAGAAAAAAAAAACAGAATCACAAAGAGGGAAAAAAATAGGTGGGAGGGAGATGGTCTCTGGAGAGATAGAGTGGGACCCATCTACTGAACCTCTGAGTGGCAACCCAACAGTATTGAAGCATCCACAAATTTCCCAAATTTCAATCCCATGAGAGTCATTGTTTCTAGATTTTGGATGTATTTTGTAAGCCCATTTGTGGAACCTTGATTAAAAAATTGTTGCCCCATGCACCGTTCACCCAGCTAAAAATTACAGACGTGAGAATTTTAATTTTATTTATTTGCATCCTGCCTTTATTACTTTTTACAAATAACTCAAGGCAGTAAACCTATCCAACATATCTTCCTCCTCCCATTTTCCCCTCAACAACAACCCTGTGAGGTACGTTTGTAAAGCTTGAAAGACACTCATTCCCCTAAAATCACCCATTTGGCTTTCATGGCTAAGGCAGAACTAGAATTCATAGTCTCCCACTTTTTCCCCTGGTGCCTTAACCACTAGACAAAACTCTCTCTCACTTTAATAATAAATAGATTGAAAAATGCTTCGTTAACCAGAATAACCACTGATTAAACCTTTAAAAATACATTTATTTTTCAGTTATTGCTCTTACATTGCCTTGTTCTGTGCTAGACTTATTGATAGCTTTATCCAGTTTTTATTGGTGGTGTTTTTAGAATTCTTTCTGTGCTTTTCTTTTTTACATTAGTTCCCATGGGACAAAAATCATTACAAAAAATAAAATAAATGAATGCACACATATTTCTGGGATTTATTTATGGGTTTAAAAGTGACTGCTACAGAAAGAGGGGAAGATGTGGAGTTGTTGTAATATATCATAGTATTTTTCCCCCAGAATAATAAGAAGCAACTTAGAAAAGGGAAGTTCTTAATTTTTAACACTGGGTGTAAAACAGGGCAAATAAAATTTCATCTAACACTGGGTGTAAAACAGGGCAAATAAAATTTCATCTGAATAATCAGTTTCCCTGAAATGCATTCAGAAGCAGATGGTAATCAGCAAAGTATGTTCCAATTTTAGAGTTATGATTTTATGGCCCTTTTGCTGTACCTATACCTCAAAAAGCCAATTGTAGATGCCAAAAAATATCTGGCATGTCACATGTATGAAAAGAATGTTGATAAAAGTGTACAGCAGTTAAAATATTGGATGGCTATCAGGGAGAACCGGGTTACAATCGCCTTCAGCCACAGAAGCTTATAGGGTAAGTGACTTGGGCCTAGTTACTCTCATGGAACCTAACAGTCTTTGTCATGGGAAAAATGGGAAGAAGAAAATGGAAAATGCCCAGTGCGCCTGAAAAGGAGGCAGGATGTAAATCAAATCAAGGGAATTAATTAAATTTGTTTGGAGGCAATGTAAACATATTGGTCGACATGCATGTAAGATGATTACAAATAATAGCGATCTTTTGAGAACCAGGGATTCTTACAAATATTGTTTAATGTGTTGGTTCCACAGGGCACTAAAACTCTCTTCAAAACCACAGAGAAGTCAAAAGATTGCATGGCAAAAATTTTAGGACTTATTTGGTATTGCTTTGAAAACAGTGATGATGGAGGAAGAACATAGGGGAAAAGTTATCCAAAATCAAAGTCTAGGAGCATGAAAACAAAATCTCCTTCCCGAGAGGGATAGGAGAGAGGGTAGGAGGGGGGAAGAGGAGGAGAGAAATGAGGAGTGGAAAGGGGAGAGAGGAGTGGGAGAGAGGAAGGGGAAGTAGAGAAGGGAAGGAAGACAGAGAGAAGAAAGGAGGTAGGGAGGGATGAGAGAGGGAGAAGAAAGTGAACACACAAATATAGTGTATAGAGAGCAGAAAGACCAATAACTGGTGTTTTCTTTTTCTTTTGGGGAATTGATGATAAGATGAATTGATATAAACATTTAATAATGCAATATGATGTTGACTATGTAGTAGTATACATGCAATTATATGTTATGAAAATGAAAAATAAAAAACTTTATGAAAAAAACAAAAACAAAATCTCTTTCCTGTGAAACATCAATATTCCATAGCATTTACAAGTAGTCCTTGACTTACAACTATTTGTTCAGTGACTGTTCAAAGTTACAATGACACTGAAAAAAAAAAGATTTATGACTGTTTTTCACACTTAAGACTGATGCAGCATCCCCATGGTCAGGTGATCAAAATTCAGACACGTGGCAACTGGCATGTATTTTATATGATGGTTGCAATGTCCCAGGGTCATGTAGTCCGCTTTTGAGACCTTCTGATGAGCAAAGTCAATAGGGAAGCCAGATTCACTTGACAATCATGTTATTAACGTAACAACTGCAGTGATTCAAGAAAGGTTGTAAAATGGGACAACTCACTTAACAGCTCTCTTGCTTAGCAACAGAAATTTTGGGCTCAGTCATGATTGTAAGCCAAGGACCACCTGCATTTTTTTAATAATGCAGAATACCAAGGAAAACAACTCAGCAGAATCTCTTGGCATCCAGAATTGAAGAGTGATTCCAAAAATGTTGCCAAGCAAACTGCATGGACTTGCCCCTGTAGTCATCAGAAATCGAGACTGACTGGAAGGCACAAAAATACCAAAGGTCATGACCCAGCATCATGATATATTGGGATGATGTTATCTTATCTAGCTTATTTCCATATTAGCCAAAGGCTAGAACAAAAACACAGAAGCACAGACTCCTGCAATGAATAAACCAGTACGGTCAATCAAGATTGCTTTTGATTGTAGTGTCTTTTCTGCCAGTTTTGTCTTTAGACATTAATTTGCCAACTTCTTTTATATTCAAGGTTGGATGATTGCTGCAGGTAAGAGTCAATCCAATTGGGAAATTAATTATATTGTGAACAGAACAATATGGAAATTAATTGCTTTCAGACAAAGTAGAATTATCCTGTTCTTTCTTTCTTTCTTTCTCTTTCTTTCTTTCTTTCTTTCTTTCTTTCTTTCTTCTTTCTTTCTTTCTTTCTTTCTTTCTTCCTTCCTTCCTTCCTTCCTTCCTTTCTCTCTCCTTCCTTCCTTCCTTTTTCCTGATTAATAGCTCAGTAAAAAGAATAGTGGGGATAAAATTCCACATTGGANGATTGAAGTTACAGGGTGGTTTTCTATGGCCTATAGACCCTGCCTCTAATCCAACACTTTAACTAGTGGTATATAGGAAGTTGCAATGAGCAATATGGGCTGCTGGGGGTTTGCAGGGGTTCGGGAAAACCTCTAGCTAAGATTCTGTGCAGTTCAGAGAACCCCCAAATCCCACTCCTGGCTAACCCTCCCGCCCCTCCCCTCCCAGAAGTCCCCATATGGCCCATTTTGGATGCAAGTAAGTGCAGGGCGCGTGCAGAGGCTCGGGGAGGACAAAAAACAGGCCTGCCGGACATTTGGGAAGCCCGTTTCCAACCTCCAGAGGGTCTCTGGAGCCTGGGGAGGCCGTTTTTGCTCTCCCAGAGTCTTGAGGAAATACTCTGGAGCCCAGGGAGGGCAAAAATGCCCCCCTCCCGCTGTGGTGCAGGAGGCCAACTAGGTCATGCCCACCATAGCCACGGCCACCCACCAACCGGGCAGAGACCCCCTTGCTAAAATTTTTGAAGCCAACCCCTGAACATGTCTTATATAATTCATTGCAAAGGAAAAGAATATGTCCCACAATGGAGTAAAGCCTTGGCAACTTGTCAACTTTAAGACACCACGATGGCCGGGGAAGTTTGGGAGTTGAGAGCCACATGTCTGAAAGTTTCCCTTAAAGGAGTTCCTGGACTAAGCAAGTATTGGACTTAGCTATTCTCTCCTTGCATCTGGTACTCGGAGCTTGTTAATTCTGCATACTAATGGGCATGGCACGTATTTACTTTTAGGTCAACCCAAAAGAGGCTTTTCCAGAAGACAACTGAACTTTCTTAGTTTTTTTCCCCTTTTTCCAAGGTAAAAAAACCAAGTCCATTTACCTTTTGGAAAAGCATTTTTGGAATAATCATGATCTGGATGATTGAGAATCTCCATAGACATTCCTAGGGCAACCTTTCCCAGTTGGTGTGGTCTTCACATCCCAGAACGTTCATTTGTGGCTTTCCCGTCAGGAATTTTTGGAAGTGAAGTCCACATATCTGGATAATGTCGATGTTATGGATCTGTTCTAGGTTCACTTGAACCAGTCTTCTAACACAATGTAAAGTTAAAATCAAGCTAAGCAAATTTTTGCACCTTTTAAAAGACTATTTTTTGCTTAATCACTTAAGCAAAAAGGAGTAAATCCAAGTGAATGTAATGGGGCTTAGCTCTAATATGCTTACGCTTGTGTTAAGGGGGGAAAATGTTAATTGAAGCTAGTATATTGTAAAATAATTCCCTGCTGTTTTGGGACTAATTGAGGGGAATAGGAGAATTTAGAGTCATCAGAATAAAGTATTTAACATTTCCCTTATTTCATTTAATTTTAAAGCTACTCCATTTCCAAGCAGCTTCAAGTGCTTTACTTGTGACAATGTTATTGACAATTTCAACTGTAACAGATGGGCTGAAGATAAGTGGTGTCCTCAGAGTAAGTATATGGAAAGCATTTATTTTAACTTTTCCAATTAACTCAGTCATATTAAGGGCTTCAGGTTGGTTAGCAGGATTTAGCAGTCCAGAGAACTAATGGCTTCTGGAATCTATAGCTGCTTTCCTGGATTCACTACAATGTTACATGAGATTAACAACAAAGGTGAAGTCTAAGTGTATTTCCACCTGTCAGATTTATAGCTGACCGTATGCTTATCTATAGTATCTTTTTGAAGTGTCAATATAAAGTTTAATGGCCAGTATCTATCTCATATGGCTGTTCCCTTTCTTCCAAAGCACCTGAAGGCCAGACAAGGAATAATGGTTTATTTGAAGAGAACAGGGGAAACTGAACAAGGAGAGATTCAACCTAGAAATAAGGAGGAACTTTCTGACAGTGAGAACAATCGACCAATGGAACAGAAGTTGCCTTGAGTGTTTTAAGAAGAGATTGGACTGCCATTTGTCAGAAATGGTGTAGGGTCTCCTGCTTGAGCAGGGTGGGGGTGGGCTGTTGACTAGATGACCTATACGGTCCCTTCCAATTCTGTTAATCTGTCATCTGTTATCCTCTTTTTTTGTTCAGTTGCACAGGAACTGAACAAAACAAGAGGAGAATCCTTCCTCATATGATCCAGAGCAAGCCAATATTAAACAGAAATGTATTTATCAGTGAAGAATATTTGTAGTTCAGGATTGAAATGAGAAATTCTTGGTGCTCTTGTTTGTTTTCTTGCTTGGTTGTTTTCTTGCAGATGTTTCATTACCCAAACTAGATAACATTATCAGTGCTAGTAAGCAATGGGATTTGGTCTCAGTTTATATTCCAGTGCAGTGATGTCAAACTGGCGGCCCATGGGCCGGATGCCTCACGCACAGGCCATGACCACCACCACCCCAGCTCAGCAAAGGGACAACAAACATTGCGATACATTGCTTGATCGCAACATGACATGGTGAATTTGACACCCGTGTTCTAGTGGTTTGCCCTGTCAGTGTTGGGGGCGGGAGGAGATGATCAAAACACTTCCCCACCAGTAATCAGCACCCAGATGAGCATAGATTAACTCCAAGATTAACATCAGACAAGCAGTGAAATAAACTATATTCCAACCAAGAAACTTCCAAATTAGCTAACAGGAAATAGCCAGTGGTGGGATTCAACCAGTTTGCACCTATTCGGGAGAACCAGTTGTTAACTTTCTAAGAAGTTCAGAGAACTGGTTGTTGGAAGAATCTCATTTTGTTGTTTTCCACTTTACAGGGCTAATCCTGTAAGGAAGGCAGGAAGGAAACATTCTGGTGTTGTTTTTAGCCTAATCTTAATTTATTTGAATCCCACCACTGGAAACAGCCTAACCAAAGAACCTCCAAAACCACTCCCACCACTACTGACAGGGCAGACCACTAGAATATAAACTGAGAGCAAACCCTACTCCTTACTAGCACCGATGATGTTACCTGCTTGGGTAATGAAATGTCTGCAAGAAAACAACCAAGCTCAGAGAACACCAAGGACCGCTTGAAATTGATTGATTGATGTGCTGCCCATCCTGTCAGAGGGATATAAATTTAATACATAAATTCTGACACTAATATAATATAAACTTCCCGACCTGAAGCCCAACAGACTTGAGAAGTTCAATCCCAGAATTCCCAGCTATTAAGACTATTGGTTTCTCCTCCACCATCTGCCCATGGTATGGAACTACAACACAGCTGCTTTTCCTTCTGGGTGGGAAGGATTTTTGCCAAGAGAATGTAGGAAGGATGGATTATGCATATTTTCCAACCATTGGGGGGGGGGTGGAAATCACTTGGGGCCTTCATGTGGTAGAATCCCCATCAGCAATAGGGTGGGTGGTTGTACATAATTTCCACAATTTGGGGAAAAAATTGCAGCCAATTGCAACATGTTGATGTGTGGACAGTCATCATTTTCAAAAAGGAAAAGGATCAGGAAATGTACACCCTAAGGTTAGAGAATACAGGAAAATAATATATGAAATGTTCCAGTCAAGAAAAAAACTTGGTTTATGTGTCAATAATTTTAGGTCAAGTATTCAGACATTGGTAGGATTTCGATTTTTAGTGAAAGAGCTAAGTCAGCATGTCTGAGCTTATAAAATATAATTGCAAAAGAATCCTGATGTTCCTTTTTGCTTTCTTCTCTCTCTTTCTCTCTCTTTTTTGATTGTTTAGACACTCAGTACTGTTTAACGGTCCATCACTTTACTAATCACGGAAGGAGCCTCTCTGTCACCAAGAAATGTGCTACCAGGGAAGAATGCCATTTTGTTGGCTGCCATCACCACAGAGAAACTAGTCATACGGTAAACATTGCATTTTGATATAAAGCTAACCCTTAGAACAAAGAAAGCCCTCTCAGTGCTGTAGATGGAATCTCCCCATGGAATACTCGGTGATATTGACAGATGGCAAAAGACAAGATTGAGTTTCTGGCTGAGACTCATGATGGATCCAGATGAGTCTGGGGTTTCTTCCTGCATCTATCTATCTCTATCTCTCTNTTGTTGTTGTTGTTGTTGTTGTTAATGTAGCTGATGTAACCTGCCTCTTGCATTCCAAGAACTCAGCAGGTGACCTATAAAACATTGAAACCCAAAGCAATACATAAAATAAGACACAAAGAGTTGCAGACTCAATGGTTTTCTGTAGATGAATGCTGGTTCTAGTTCAGTTCTCTTTTCATATATTTGATACTACTTCTGCTCATAAAGTGTCAAGCCAGAATAAATTAATCACTGGGATAATATAGTGTTATTGATTTTTCCCCCACCAGGATATAATTTGGATTATTGTAATAAAATATCACAAGCAATAACTAAAAACACATTCAATTAGTTTCTTTGCTGTATATTCTCTGCATGAAGAAACAAATATGATATATTTCACAGTCACTCGCTCTACTGAGTTTTCTTTTTAAATTTTCATTTAGCAGATGAAACTAATTGAAATGTTTCAATTTTTGGTTTCAGATAAATGTAAGATTTCAGAAATAATTTTAAAAACTAATAGTACCTTACTTTAAGTGGTTTTCTAGTAGAATTATTTCACAGGTTGTTGAACACAATTTATCATACCAAAAGTAATTAATAAAGCTATGAAAGTGGGTAAAAATCTTTAGAAACATCCAGACTGGTAAACTTTTCAATATTTGCAAGGTAAATATTTGAAATGCAGAGGCTTTATTTGCCCATAGAATTTATTAACCTATCTCTCTTTTAATATATAACCCGGGGCTGGAAGATGTTAAACGGAGAAGTCTGTGTGACAAGGATATATAGCTGTTCACATTGTGGTATTTAGGCTGAGGAACAAAAACTTTATAATGAACAAAAGCATACAATTCTGAAAGAAGTCCCTAGAAAATTGCCTGGGTGTGTATATGTACATAAGCAAGCAACCATGCCATTTTTCAAACTTGAATATCAAGAAATTAAAACTGTGCATATAGGTCATGGAGTTATCATCATCATCATCATCATCATTGTTATTATCCCAAACTCAGGTGGTCAAGTGTTTACTAAAAAAAAACCTCTAACATTTTTACATGTTCCAAGGATTTATTAAGGGCTTTCCATAAAGAGCTTTGGTACCATTCCCAAATCAATCCCATGTCCCAACAATCACATAACATCCTCCTCCTAGGGCAGCTAGGCCAATTTTCTTTTCAATAGAACATAATATTTGCAGTTCAGGATTGAATTGTGTAGTCTTTGCTATTCTTTGAGCTTGGCTTTTTTCTTGCAGATGTTTCATTACCCATCTAGGTAACAGCTTCAGTGGTAGAAGGGGTAGGATTTGCTGTTTATATACTGTGGTTTACCCTATAAGTGTTGGGGGAGGAATTTTTGCTTTCTTCTTGATAGTTCCTTGAATAGATTGTTTACTATTTGATTGTTTGTCTGAACAGGTAATTCCTTTATTAGGGTATTGTTATTGCTTGATTTTTGGTCTAATATTGATCCTGGTGTTAATCTCTACTTATCTGGGAATTAATTACTGGTAAGGAGATGTTTGGGGGGTTTGTTTCTTTTTGTTTCTTTTTTATTGTCTCTTTTGAATGGCATGCAGATGTTGTTTACCTCTGTATGCCTGATGATTTGTCTGAGTACCAGACTTCCAGCAATTCTCTAACACTTTTGGACTTAGCTTGGTCTAAGGATGCTCAATTTCCCAGTTAAAACTATGATTAAGCCCATGTGTTTTGCAATAAAGGAGATCTCATCATATCTTCTGAATGCTAGTTGGAGTTTATGGGTGCCCTCCAGTGGTGGGTTGCAGGCAGTACGCCCTGGTACCGGTGTACTGGTGCCTGCCCGGAGTACCGGGTACCGAGGGCCCACCCACCCGCCCGTCATCCTTACCTGTCTTTAAACTCTTTGGCACTTCCGCTCAGGCGCACGGCGTATACAGCACCTGTGTGACGCTCCGCTGAGTAGCTGGAGCATTGCGGAGGCTCGTGGAGCCGCCGCACGAGCGATTGTGGGTGCACCTCGGTACACCCACGTTACACCTATCCTCCGCGAGCTGCACTGGCTGCCTATTGGTCTCCGGATACGCTTCAAGGTGCTAGTCGTCACTTATAAAGCCCTTCATGATATTGGACCTGGGTACTTGAGAGACCGCCTGCTGCCAATTACCTCCCAAAGACCTATCAGATCCCACAGACTAGGCCTCCTCCGAATTCCATCTGCCGGCCAATGCCGATTGTCGACCACCCGGAGGAGGGCCTTCTCTGTGGCTGCTCCGGCCCTCTGGAATGATCTCCCTGTGGAGATTCGGACCCTCTCCACCCTTCAGGCTTTCCGCAAAGCCGTCAAAACCTGGCTGTTCCAACAGGCCTGAGGCTGATGAGTTCCCATCCCCACTCGAATTGTGTGGCTGTTGACTGCTTTTAAATTGTTTCTGTATTTTGTTTCTTTGTTTTTATTGTTTTTGTCTGTATTATTCCCTTCCCCTTTGGTTTGTTAGCCGCCCTGAGTCCCTCCGGGAATAGGGCGGCATACAAATGCAATAAACCTTATAACCTTAACCTTAACCTTCTGTTGGTTTTACCTACATAGTGACTGTTACAGTCCACTGTACAGATAATGAAATGTTTGCAAGAAAACAACCGAACTCAAGAGAGCACCAAGAGCTTCACAATTTTCTTTTCACATGCAAACTGAAATGCTGAACTTGCAGGGACTAGGGATTGACAGCTTTCCCATTGGTAGGGAGTCCCACCCAAACTGCCACTGGCTTCTTGGCTAGTCTCACTCCCAACTGTAAAGTATACTTCCCTGCTTGCTTGTTCTGGTTTCTGAGGTATTCCCCCACCCCCCAGCCAGTCAGACTGGTTTTTTATTTATTTTTTCTCCTTCATGCAATTTAGCCTAGCAAGATGGGGGGGGGGGCATTTTTGCTGGAGGGCAGTTTCCGTGCTCCCTAATTGGTTGGTTCTGGATGTTCTTAAAAGGTGTAGTGAATACCTCTATAGGCCATTATGACAGTGATTGGACATTTGCTTACGGGCCTGTCTCTGTGGACATATTATATATGGGCTGAAGTCTATAAGTTGGTCCTTTTAAAATAGTCTACAAGTAGACAAATGATCTAGCAAGTCCTTTTGAGAGTTTAGGGCGTGTGGCATGTTTAGGTATCAGTAGGAGGGATGCTACTCAGATGTGAGGAAGGGCAGCAAAGAGGAAATGGCCTACTCAGGTCTCTAATTGCCCTTAAGTATCCTGGGGGGGGGGAGCTGCCTTTGCAGAGATGCATACCATAGAGTTAACACTTTCCTTCCTGCATTATGCCTTTCTTGAGAGGAAGAAAAGAAACTCATCTCATCTTCTCCAGGATAACTTTTCTGCTAGCGAACTAGATAACAAGCAGATAGCCTATCAGCTTCATATTTGCATCCCTAAGGTTAGTATTTTCAGGTCAATGAGAGAAAGGGGAATTTGTGCCATGAGGGAATCTCTCTGGCTTTGACTGATCACAGTCAGGATGAGATTAAACAATTATCACAGTTCTAGATAAGGAAACTGGTTTGTGATAGATGCCTAATCTGATTTGTTAAGCATACATTCACAGGTCATATTCTCTGTGGGATAATTTGTGGTCAGAATTAAATTATGTAAGGTGGGGGGCAATTACTTTAGTTTGGATTTCAGTCTGGATTGATCTGATTTTTCATTTTCAAAACAACACACAAAACAAAACACTATACAGAGTCCTCAAGATTCTGCAAGGCAGCTTAAATATATAGATATTTGTATGTGTTGGTGTGTGTGTGTGTGTGTGTTCATGGAAGTTTGTACAGTAATGCACATATACTAATCATTGTATTATATCGCAAAATGTCTGTGTACATTAAGAAAGCAGTAATGGAAAATATTTGGAGAATTATGCATCAAAATAATGAGGAATAGTTACAAATTCCAATGGAAACTTGAAAAAGAAAACAGATTCAAAGAACCAAATTTGACATGCTTATAAAAAAAGGAAGACCGGAAATTCACAGATTTGCATTGCCCAAGGCCATCTACTTTTTTTCTTTTTCTGATGTCTCTTTCATTGTGTTTCAAGTTGCGGAGAGAGTACAGATCTCTTACCATGCAGAGATCCAAACTGATCTATTGTTTTAATATGGGCCAAGAAGCCTCAAACTAACTCAGAAAACTCCACGTGGGAGTCTTGCACATGGTCTTTGGTTCCGAATTATTCTGGCATAACAGATCAAATTGGCAGGAAATGACAGGAAGGACTGCAAAAGTTCTGAATTCATATTTTGACTGGTTGACATGCTACCTTATATTACTAGTGTATATGTGTCAAATACATTTACCTTGTATACTTGCTTTGCCTCAAGCAATTCATATTTAAGCATCAACATTTAGAAAGAAACTTATGTGGTACAGGTGCAGTTTTGTGTTTTGCTTTGTATAATAGGCTATTAGAGGCACCCGTTCATGTCTGATATACAATAAATGGAACTTATGTTCCTGTGGTGGACAAACATTAAATGCTCCCCAAATAGATAGAAGTTGAGACATGTATAAGTTACATTAGGTTGTAAACTATTTACCTAATGGGATGCTTGAAGAATACTGTACAGTGTGATACAGTTTAAGACCAAATTGGGGGGAAATCCAGGGATTTTAGCAGCATATGCAGCCAATGTTTATGATCTTTTTAGAATCTTTTAAAGGCAACCTACTGTTCCTATCTGACTTTGGTGGTTAGCCATCCAAATATTACTAAACTGAAATAATCCACAGTGTTCTGCAGGCAAAAATCTCTGTGAAGTATTTAATTGCCTCTT